GAGCTTCAGGAAGAGCACCGACCTCCTCAGGCACCATCGCATCCACAGTGGGGAACGGCCCTACACGTGTGGGGAGTGTGGGATGAGCTTCAGGAACAGCTCCAATCTGTGCACCCACCGTCGCATCCACAGTGGGGAACGACCCTACACATGTGGGGAGTGTGGGAAGAGCTTCAAACAGAGCTCCCACCTGCTCCAACACCAGATGATCCATAGTGGGGAAAGGCCCTACACATGTGAGGAATGTGGGAAGAGCTTCAGCCAGAGATCCACCCTCCACACCCACCGTCGCATCCACACTGGGGAACGGCCCTACAAGTGCTTGGAATGTGGGAAGCGCTTCAGCAACAGCACCAACCTCCTCAGCCACCAGCACATCCACACCGGAGAGCAGCCCTACACATGTAGGGAATGTGGGAAGAGCTTCAGGAACAGCTCCACCCTCCACAAGCACCAGCGCATCCACACTGGGGAGAGGCCCCACAAGTGTGGGGAGTGTGGGAAGAGCTTCATCCGGAGGGCTGCCTTGACCAAACACCAACGGACCCACCTGTAGGGAAGCCCCGAGTGCCCCGACTGCGGGAAGAGCTTCGGCCGCTGCTCCAACTCCATCAGCCATCGGAGGACCCGCGTTGGATGATCCACAGGGACCCCCGTTGGGCACAGACCTGGTGACCAACATTCCTGGTGACCCCTGTTTAGCAGAGACCTGGGGCTGGAATAGAGTTCAAACCTGGAAGAAGAAGAAGGACTGGCACATCTGATGAGAAAGAGAAGACTCCAGTTCCCGGATAACATGAAGGTCAGGATGGTCTCCCCAAAGAAAAACCCTGAGAGACCCCTGGTGTGAAAGGATGTACTGAGGGATGGGGCCAGTGAAGGTCCCCCAGCCTTTCTTCACAACCATCCTGCAGGGTGGGAATAGGGAACCTTTTTGACCTCTGTGATTTATCTGTCAAGAAAGAACAGATGCCTGTCATGTTACCCCAAATTTAGCTTTGTGACTAAAGTAAATTTAAAACTCCACCTAAACCTGAAAATTCTAAATTGAAGTCAAGGCTAAGGAGAAATGGAAGGAAGATTTGCTTTGAAACTGCTGGATGGGCCGAGGGGCTGCTCCTGCCTTCCCTTCCCCTTTCAGGTGGCTCATGGGGTGAGAAATTTAAAGTTCTGCACGCTGATTCCTTGCTTTTACACAACTAGAGTTTATTTTCACTTCCCA